TGGGTCCTGCCATGTGGGCAGGGGACTGGACTCGATGACCTCTCGAGGTCCCTTCCAGTCCTAGAATCTATGAATCTATTATACTGTTTCACGGAAGAAGCCACATATAAAACAATATAGTATAACAGCTTGTTTCCATTTTTCTTCCTTTGCTCAATTTAAACAACAAAACTATACTTCCTCTGCAAGAACAAAAAGAACTTTGGGTAATGTTCCAGCAACATATACCTTAGAGACTTTCACAGAACAGGGAAGAGGAAATGGCAGTCAATTTTAACTTTTAGACCTATTGGATGAAACCTATTGGTTCTCTTGAACTCAATGAGAATTTTGGGATTGACTTCAGTGGAGTCAGGATTTCACCTCTTAACTGTTTTAATGGTTACTATCTTTAGCTAAACACAATACCGAATAAATATAGAAACTGATCTAAAACTCCACACCACAGAGTTGTCTCATTTTGGAATTAAATCCGTGCAGTAATTAGCAATAGCCACAAAAATTGTTTTGCTAGTTTCACAATGCATATATAATTAAATTCAGCCCTCTACAGATTAAGCATCCCTGTGATACCAAAACCATGCAGCAAAAATTTAATTTGGACTTAAGTGATATGGTCGGCGTCAGGCAGGCCTTCTGCACTGGTGTGAATTTTACCCTCTGAGATTATCTGTCCTTCATGATAAAGTTTTGTGGTGCATATTCTATAGCACAATAGTAGGTAATTTACACTATTTGGAGGTAAGCATTGCAATCTATCACAGCTGAACAAATATATAGAGAGCAGTTATCTCACAGATGGCACTATGAAGACTTTAGATATTTGTTTTTATTATTGGTTACATTTAGTTAACAGGAACAGTTAAGATCTTTGTTTTCTGGAACAAAAATGAACCTCAAAACCAGAGATGGGAAATGATCCAGGAATGAAACCTAAGCTCTACTCAAACAGAGAAATGTGGGTTATCAGTGTTCAAATCAAACTCAGAGATCTGGACTCAATTTAGACTTGGGTCTTGTTTTCCACAGAGTTTCAGTTGAAAGCGCCACAAGAAAGTGCTTTCATTGGAAATTTTTGAAATGGAATCTAGGCCACAAGCAGGCTGAGAGGCCATTAGGGAAGTGGAATAGAAAGGGCCGATCAGAGTGCATTTCAGCAAGGCAGCTAGTGAAAGCAAATGCAGAGAAATAGGAGAAGCTGGGTTAAGGATAACTGTTACGTTTCGGGCAAAAATTTGGAATAGGATAGTGAGTGACAATTTTCAAAGCTTTTTGGGGGAGCATGAGGAATCAGTTAAGTAAATATCTTCTGTCCTCTGCACTCTGGGAAACTTTGAGGCTCTTCCCCATTTTTTCAGGCTTCCTCTCTCTCTCATCCTCAGTGAATTCCATGATCACTTTCTTTCAAGCTAAAAAGGGCTTGATGGGGACTTCCTTCTGGGTCAGCCAGCGGAGTCACTGTTGAATGACATGAGGTTTCTCTTCATCCTTACTGACAAGCAGATGGCCCATGCAGCATTCCCAGTCCTGATGTTATGTAAACAAACCCAATGTTTGCAGTATTGCAGAGCCCTAGCCACAGAAATAACTGGCAGATATATTTTATTAAAAAATATATGAGGCTGTGGAGGAAGCAGATTAAAGGTTCATCAAGACTGGCATTTATGAGTAGTAGAATATATGGGGGAGTAGGGTGCCACAATAATAGACTAGGACAGATCTGATGGCAGAAGAAAGGCCTGGAAGGTGAGGACAAGAAGTTTAAAGTTAATGAAGAAGGAGCTGGGGGAGGGATTCAAAGAGAGGGAGTGATGATGGAAGGAATCTAATTGTAGTGGTTATGGTAGGAGGGGTTGGGCATTGTGGATGACAGACGAACCAGAGAGGAGGAGGTTCCAATAATTGAAATAGGAGTGATGTGGGCAGAAAAATAAGAGCTTAGCGTTATCCGAGGTAAGCTTAATTTTTTCGCAGCATTGAGGAAGAAATGACAGGGATAGGCTGAAGTGCAGAAGTGGAGATATAAATACAAGTTGCCAGCACAGAGATGACTTTTATATGAAATGGTTAGAATACTCCAGCATTTATCTGCCTCACAGGAGGCTTGTGAGGCTTAATCAGTGGAAAGTACCAGAAGCCCTTTGAGCTATGTATGACTATTGTCATTTAAGGCATCCTAATTGGTTTAAATGTGAGAGATATCTCAGGATTCCTGTTTAACATTCTGTGGAGATCTTAAAGGATGACAGTTAAACTGCTCTTCAGCATCTCTGCTAGCTGAATTATGGGTGAAAGGGGCACTGAATATTGATTGTCAAGTAAAAAGATAATGTGGGACAGAAGCTGAAGGGGAAGAAGAGGGTGACTGACAAAATGTAAGATATTAAAGAAACACATTCATATTAGTTGGTATAAGTGCAATTAAGCTATGTTGTTGCTGTTGTTATTAACCATTATTTTTATCCCAGTGGTATTTAGGGTCTCCTGCAAACAATCAGGGCTCCCATATTAGCAAAGCTATGTTTAAAGGAGAGGTAAATAACTATTTCACTACAAAATTATTTTTCTGTGCTCAGGTCTATCTTGCAACAGCTGTTTTTGGGCCTGACTTTTCCACGTTTCCTTGAGGCAGGTAAGTCAAGACTCAGGTTTGTTAAAGGGTCAACTTTGAATGAACTAGAAGATAAGAATCCAGGTGCCAGCCAAATTCTGCTCACTCTACTATATAAGTTGAAAATGTTTCTGTTTTTTCTTTCTCCTCAGCGGAAGCAGATGATGAGGATTACGCTACTATCCTATCCAAACAGAGCTGCATTACTGAGCAAACTCAGTATTTCTTTGAAAATGATGATAAATCCTTTAGTGGGATTGTAGACTGTATAAACTGTTCCAGGTAAATTTTCAACTTTGAATACAAAATGTAAAGAGGAGTCTTTTTTGTGCATATTAATCTTAGAAGTAGGTAATTACTTTACTGTCTGAAGGATAAACTATACTGTGTCATAATCTTATCAAATTTATCTAAGAAAGATAAAGATCTACATACATATGTGTAGTGTAGTACATACATGACAGAATGTATGTGTGTGTATTAGTACAGATTGAAACAGCAATAATAGTGCACAGAATTATTTTACCACAAGTTGTGTTTTTCTGTTGTATGGGACTGTCTCCACATATATTTTAGTAGGATAATTGGTGTTTAATACATTTTATTCCTAATTTTTTTCACTGTATTTTTTTCTAATTTATTAATTGAAATTCTTGAGTTCTATCAAAGATATTTAGAACAGAGGGGTTTGTTTGTGCATCCCATTATCAATTTAAATGCAGATAATGTTAAAGTGTTGATCAGCTTCTTGATATTTTGCCTTGAGTTGTCCAGTAACGCTGCTGCTGCTTTCATTAAAGATGTTACAATCTCGATATAGTTTGGGAGACTCAAAAATTTCTTCTATCCTAAATTATTAGATTGACAGATTTTCTAAAGTGAAAGATTATAAAAATTACCATATAATTAACCTGTTCAAAAAAAAGAAGCCATTTGAAGATCTCCGTGTAGACAGATTTGTGATAATTCAGTTTAAAATCCTTAAACAAACATTAAGCTACAAATGGATAAAAAAGAGGACATTTAGGGTGTGTTATAGCACAGCACAGATATGGCACAAGTGATGTAAGTGTACAAGGTAAGAAATGATCACCAGCACAGAGTACCTGATCCTGTATTAAAGAGAACATTTCTGGCTATGCAAGAGCAAGAGAGAGAAGTCAGAGTGGGAAACATAGAGCTAAGCACCTCATTAGCATGATGAGAATTGTATTTAAACCCTCGTCTCCTCCATGCCACTTTGTTCTGTTTTTTAATCTGGTACTCTTGAATATTGGAGTGGATGTGCAAGTGTGTCAAGCCTTGGTTCCTCCACTCCATGCCAAAAAGTAAGCATGCTTTTATGCTTACTGCTTCTCTTTATATTTGCCCACATGTAGTCTCTGCTCACCCTTCCCCTGGAGTATAATAACCTTACACACAATACCGTGCCTCATGCCAGAGCCTACAGAAACAAGGGCTGACAGTTATTAGCAATTTCTGAAAGTGTTGGAGACAACAGAACTGCTATAAACAGCCAAGCCTTGAACACCTGGAAAATGTTTCATAGGGTATTTCAGTCCAGCAACGTACACACAGGGAATTGGACACAATCACAGCACAGGGTCAAATACTGAATTCCATAAAGGGTAGAATGGTGCTACTATGGACAGAAACGGAGCCATCCTCAGAGATTCTCTTTCACTGATTTAATCAGAAGATATGTTTGGGCCCCTAAAATGGTCAACTAGTGTGGATGAGTCATTTGTAAAATTACAGATGACCTGAAGGAGTTGTTGGTTCAAATTTAGCCATTGGGATAAACTCCACTGAGGTCAATGAAGTTTTATCCACTTACACCAAAGGATACGTTTTGCCTGTTTTTGTTAGATGGGCGCAAAAGTGTGTCAGGAAGCCAGTTACAAATAAATAGCTCTCTAAATTCAGAACAACATAAAAGCTTTTCTTCAGCAATTAGAAAATATTCTCTTTGTCGCTGAGTTTTACATTATTTCTCCACTCACTTGGATGCTTATTTACACCTATCTATCCCTCCATCTAGCTGTCGAAGTATACAGTATAAACACCTGAAAATAAGCCAAGTGCATAAATTCTCTTAACTATAGTGTCTAAGGGTACATCTACACTACAGGGGGGAGTCGATTTAAGATACGCAAATTCAGCTACATGAATAGCGTAGCTGAATTCGACGTATCGCAGCCGACTTACCCCGCTGTGAGGACGGCGGCAAAATCGACTTCTGCGGCTTTCTGTCGACAGCGCTTACTCCCACCTCCGCTGGTGGAGTAAGAGCATCGATTCGGGGATCGATTGTTGCGTCCCGACGGGACGCGATAAATCGATTCCCGAGAGGTCGATTTCTACGCGCCGATTCAGGCGGGTAGTGTAGACCTAGCCATAGAAACACTGTATCAAATAGAGATGTGATGTACTCAAATACATTATATTCTAACTGAAAAGGCTCATTTGGATTTCTAAAGATGTCAGTATTCTCACTACTCATATTAAACCCTCATTTCCTATCCTGTTTAGAGTGGCTTTTCTTTTCACACCACATTGGCAGTAGAGAAATTGTAGCTGAACTGGTTTCACTACTTAGTGGAGTTACTGATTTAGCAGCATGCAACTTGCTGCTTAGTGGTATAAGGTCACCCTGTGCCCTTTTTCCATTTTTTAATCACAGCATCTGCTCTAATGTAGAACAACACTCCTGTCAATAAAGATTACAAAATTTCCCCTTGAATGGTCCTTGCTATTCTTAAAAAAGACCAGCTGTCCCTTGTATAGCAGTCTAGTTCAATCTATAAAGTTGTTACCTGTGATATCATTAGTGAATGTGACAAGCCCCTGAAGATATATTGTTGCTTTTTTTAACTAGAGTTGTGTTTCTTTTTCAGACTTTATCATGCAGAAAAGCTTTCACACACCAATCTAGTATTTATAATTAGTGACAGCCAACGGATGTGCCGCTCCTGCGACCCAAAGCCATTGATGCAAGCAGAAAAGCCGGGTATCCTTTAAAGTCAGAACTTCTAGTAGCATAAACTGATGTTTGTTGACCAAATATTAGAACAGGATTTGGAGAAATATGCCTATTTATATACATTTCTGAGACACACATCACTGTGGTATCTGAGTCAGCAGATGATTATCAGATGCATTTTATATACAACAAACATAGCATGGACTAAATAGGAATGATTTCAAAGTGTTAAGAATTTTTATGTGCATATATGTGATATGCTGGTCTTAATACCTGTTCCCAGACTGTGTTACCAGGCAAAATCTTCTGAAGCCCGTGCACTGGAATGATTCGTCAGTCGGTCAGGGCAGCCATCACTGAAGTATATAATGGCCTGTTGTCATAGTATCCTGCTATTGGTGCAACTTGTAGGAAGCAGCCTTTCTGCAGAGGACCAAAAGGTGCATCCCAAGCCCCTCAGTTTGTCACACCACTTGGTGACTGACCTGAAGAAATGGAAGGGGAGAGGCCAGAGCTTAACAGTTGCATGCTACCTGATTCATTAAGCATGAATCACATACTAGTTTCTCTCCCCTCACCAAGGGGAGAGAGTAAGAAGTGAAAAGCGCCTGTTCACATGTATTGGGTGCTCTGGGGTCTGCAGCCATTCTGAGTAGACCTGACAGGGTAAAGAGAAATGCCTCTGCTGAGACGCACAAGCCAGAAGGCACAGCCCAAGGCAGGGGTAATGGGACCAGGCTTCACCAATCATCTGTCTAATGTGGCTGACATACTGTAGGGTGCAAGAGCACCTGTTGCCCGTAGATCATTCTGCTGGGGCTGGAGTTGTTCTGGCCATGGAGGCCGCAGTTCCTCTGTTTGCCACCCAAGGGGCTTCTTCATAGACTGCAGGAGGCACAGAGCAGAGAATACAAGCAGAGTATAGAGCAGAGTCCTGCAACGGGACTGGGATCCCACGGCTCCCGCAGGACCAGCTGCCATAATAGTGGGTAAAATGTACTTCGTTGCGGGATTGGGTGGGCAAAAAACCTAGGCTGCGGTAATTTGTGGAAAACACCAAATCTCTCGTTGGTGTGTCATAAATAGAATTTCAGCAATGTAAAGCAAGTTTTTCTTTTTTTTTTAAATAAAGCCTTTAATACTTAAATTTAAGCGAGGGATAGAAAGAGATTTGATATCTATGATAACAGGAGTTAAAGTATTTTATATGGTTTAAGCGAAATTTGATTTATTCTTCTCATTGTAAAAGTTGTCTGAATTTCGTTTATATATATACATAAAATATACTAACCAACCGTCTTTTTGTTTGGTTGGTTTTTGTTTAGTTAGTAACATGGGGGAATCTGTCTCTCTTGTGGGATTTTCAGGATCTATGGCTTTTTCCAGGTGGGAGCAGGATAAAAATGAAAGAAACAATGCAGGAGCGGCTGGGAATGGGTATTGCGGGATGGGATGGGAATGAGACTTAAAAAATAGGCCCATGCAGGCTCTAATATAGAGCACTTTGCACAAGTTCCCTCTAGCCTCCAGCGCACTATTCTAAATTATGGCAGCTTTCCCCTTGTCGTCTATGGGCTGCTCAGGACTATAGCTACTCCTTCTCATCTCCATTCCTGGTAAACCATCCCATATGCAATAGCGACAGGAGCAGCATAGGACAGCATATACTGTGCCAGGGGAATTCTCCTTGCACTCTTTTTGGCCCTTATGCACACTGAAGTGGCGTTCGGGTGTTGAGGCAAGGAGCCAGAATCTGACCGATTAATCCAGACAGTAGAAAAATATTGCTGCCAGAAATACATATTCCTGACATGCAAGTAGGTCCATGAGGAGAGATTTGCAAATCCCTATAAAAGCATTGCTACTCCTGTACCTGATGATAAAGCTGCTTATGGTGAAGATGGTGGAAATCCCTCGGCAAAAATGACACATTAAGTATCACATTAATTACGACACTGGAATTCTGCCTGCACTTCAGATGAAAGGGAGGTTACATCAGTGGAAGCAGCATCAGTGGCACTGTAGCACCAGGTAAATGTAGGCTGCTACTCTGACCGGCTTGGCTCCATGTCAGTTTGATTAATTACAGGTACTGTCTACAGGTTGTGTACAGGGCCTGCTGCACAAAATAAAGCAAGTTTAATAAGAAACGGTGCAACTTTCCCATGGTGCATTTTACTTCACAGGGCTAGGGGCAGTAGATGAAACCTTGACCAGCTGGCTGGGCTAATTTTTCACTAAATGAATTGCTATATGTATTATTCACCTGAGCTGCAGTAAGCCAAGCTGTCTTTTTCATAACCAGGGCCCATTGTGAAATGCAGATGTAGCATGACAGCACAGAGATGGGAGGGATGACCTTTGAGTTCTATTCATCTATAGGTGTTTATTAGGTTCCGCTTCCTGCTGTCTGGTAGGGATATGCTCATGTTGATGGCCTTTTAAGTTATCATCCCTGTTTCTTACTCTCCTTTCTCCCATGACATAAATCTCATCACATATAAACCACCGTGGCATCAGTGGGTGGGTGGATACAGCTAAGACGTAAATTAGGGAAGAAATTGACCATATGTTGTCTTTTCATTTATTTATTTTTTAACATTTTAGGCTTAAGACCAAATCCCATGCCATCTTGCATCCTGAATACAGTAAACTGGATTGTGCCTTGTCTTGCATTGGGACAGTTGCAAAAGTGAAATATTAACCTTACAATCCAGTTCCATGGTGTGTCCAGGGTGCTTGCATCAGAGCATAGAATTGTTCTAGTCTCTATGAGGCAGAATGACTCAGTGGATGGGGCACTACCCAGGTTTCAGGAGACCTGGGTCCTATTCTTGTTTCTGCCATTGATCTGACGAGTGACCCTGAGTATGCCATTTCATCTGTTTTCCCTTGCACTCTAAAGCTGAAACCCAAAGAAAATCTTTGTCCCTTACTGTGGGCTGGTCTACACTGAAAATTTACATTGCCGTAGCTACATCTCTCAGGGATCTGAAAATCCACACCTCTGAGACATAGGCCTGGTCCCCACTAAGTCCCCAAATCGGACT